GTACCTAAATCCCCTTAATTTGTCTTGCATGACTAGCATGTGCAACCATGGTACATTGACTCAGGTTGCTCTAGGCACATGACTGGTGACATAAGTCAGCTGACCTCCTTCATCGAAAAATCTGGAGGCTCTGTGACTTTTGGAGACAACAGCAAGGGTATTATCAAGGGATATGGCACTCTCATAAAAGGCAACATCTCCATCAGCATAGTGGCTTATGTCGAAGGATTGAAGCACAACCTTTTAAGCATAAGCAAGTTCTGCGACAAGGGTCTTGAAGTCAGGTTTCGCAAAGGTTTCTGCATCATAGAAACAAAGGGCGGTCACACAATCATTAAGGCAAAGAGAGAAGGAAATCTCTATCTTCCAGATTTTGAGTCCTCCAAGGGACAAGACACCCTTTGTCTTGTATCTCATAAGAGCGATGAAAGTTGGCTATGGCATCAGAAATTTTCACATTTCAACTTTGATGCACTATGAAAACTAGCCACATAAAAGTTGGTCAAGGGGATTCCGGATCTCAAATTCGAAAAAGATCATCTTTGCTCAGCCTGTGAGATGGGAAAGCTAAAACGGGCCTCACATAAAACCAAGTCAGAAACCTCCAGCACCAAGCCCTTGGACATGATTCATATAGACCTCTGTGGGCCTATATCAACTCAAAGTCTCTCTGGAAAGAAGTATATGCTAGTACTGGTCGATGAATACTCCAGATACACTTGGGTTGAATTTGTAAAGAAGAAATCAGATGTTCCAGACCTACTAGTTGGAGTGATGAAAAGGCTTCAAGTCTGTAAGTTGTTCCTATGCTACATACGCTTCAAGTCATATCCAGCAGAGCTTCTGTGATGTTTCACAGAGGGTCTGCAGCTAGTCTTCTGTGTAGATTATCTTTAGCTAGTTTTACTTAGGTCTTTTAGCTGCTCGTGCCTTCCACGTGATCTTGTCTGTAATCTTTTTTTAGATGAACGGCTTAGATTAAATTGCTTTAGGTCGTGTCAGGAAACGGTTACTTGCTTGTATAAATAGCAGTGTAGGCCTTTGTATTTTGTGTGCTTCCAGATTTGTAATCGTTGATATTTTCAATCAATTGAAAATCATTTGATGCAATTCTCTTTGTGTTCATTACTTGTTCTTCATTGTGTTCTTACTGTTTCTACCTGTTTGATTGATATTGTTTCCGCTGCTTTACTACTGTCAAATCGATCATTCAAGTAAGTTTTTAGTACCAAGAATTGAGTTATTCGATCCAACAGAATGTGTTGAAGGCTCTTGTGGTCGGTGAAGATAGAGCATCTTGTGCCATAGAGATAGTGTCTCTAGATTTTGAGTGCGAACACCACTGCTCCAAGTTCCAGGTCATGGGTGKTGTAATTCATTTCATGGACTTTTAGTTGCCTCGACGCATACGCAATAACTTTGTCCTTCTGCATCAATACGCACCCCAGTCCTTGATGCGAGGCGCCGCAGTACACCACAAAGTTATCTGTTCCCTCTGGTAAGTCTCCGAAATGCTTCCTCCTGTTTCTCGCCCCAAATAAATTTCTTATCTTTCTGCGTTAGAGTCGTCARTGGTTGCGCGATCTTGGAGAAGTTTGCAATGAATCGCCTATAATAACCTGYCAAACMARGAAATTGACGAATCTCCGTTGGTGTCTTTGGGGCTTCCCACTTTTTGATAGCCTCGATCTTAGCTGGATCAACATGGATTCCCTTATCATTGACTACATGGCCCAGAAAATGCACTTCACGAATCCAAAATTCGCATTTGGAAAATTTGGCGTACAACTTTTCCTTCTTGAGCAATTCTAGGATCAACGTTAAATGTTGTTCATGCTCCTTCTTATCTCGTGAGTAAATCAATATATCGTCTATAAACACGATCACGAACTTGTCTAGGTACGGTCGGCAAACCCTGTTCATCAAATCCATGAAGACTGCCCGAGCGTTTGTTAATCCAAAAGGCATGACTAGAAACTCGTAATGACCGTATCGAGTCCTAAACGGCGTCTTAGCAATGTCTTCTTCGTGAACTCTCATCTGGTGATATCCTGAACGAAGATCGATCTTTGAGAAGTACGTAGCACCTTGTAGTTGATCAAACAAGTCGTCGATCCGAGGGAGGGGGTAACGGTTTTTGATGGTCAGCTTGTTGAGTTCTCTGTAATCAATCCACATCCGGAAAGATCCATCCTTCTTTTTGACGAATAGAACCGGAGTTCCCAGTATGAAGAGCTAGGTCTGATGAATCCTTTATCGAGCAGCTCCTGTAGTTGTTCTGATAATCCAGCATCTCCGATGGTGCTAATCGGTAAGGCGACTTTGCCACGGGTGCAGCTCCAGGAACTAAATCAATATGAAACTCTACTTGTCTGTGCCGGGGTAATCCAGGTAATTCATCTGGAAATACCTCAGGAAAATCTCGCACTATCGGGAGATCCTGAATACGCTTCTCTTTGATCTCCCTATCCACAACATGTGCCAAGAATACAACGCAATTTTTCCTCATGTAATTTCGCATTTTCATATATGTCACTATTTTAAGATCCCTCCTTGGTTTCTCTCCATGTACTTCGAGTATTCTTCCTTCTGATAGTGGTATACGAATCTTCTTTTCAGCACAACAAATTTCAGCTCGGTTTTCAGACAACCAATCCATACCCACGACTAAATCAAAACTTCCTATTTTGATTGGGATTAGGTCAATACTAAAATTCGTTTCTACCAAGTTTAGAGTGATGTTCTTGATCACATCTTTGAACCTAACTTTCTGTCCGCTAGCATATTCTATTATATGTACTTCGTTCAACTTTTGGGGTCTTATGTTTATCTTTGGCCTAAAATCTAGCGATACAAAACTCCTATCTGCTCCAGAATCAAAAAGTACAGATGCAAGATTACTGTTTAGGAGAAACGTACCTGTGACGACATCAGGATTTTGCCTTGCTTCTTCTGCCCCAATCTCAAACACTCGGCCTCGTGCCTGACCCCCTTGGTTCCCTTGATTGGTTGGTCGTGCTTGATTTGTGTAGGGCCTTTGATTTCTTCTAGGACAAGTGTTTCGGATATGATTTGGGCTTCCACACTCAAAATAAACCCGTCCTTCTCTGATTCTGCAATCCTTTGCAACATGTCCTGTCCTGTTGCACTTATGACATGTGATACATCTCCCCAAGTGTTGTTTGTTGCACTTGTCACACTTTGTGTATGATCCTTTCCCTCTCTCGGTCGCCGGTGCCTGAATTCCATAGTTTCCTAATACTTTCTGCTCCTTACCCATCCTTTTTTCAAACTGTCTTCTAGCAGGTTCCTCCATTATCCTTTTTCCTCTCGCCTTGTCACTTGTGAATGCTCCCGAACGGTTTGCATTGTTGGTGAGCCTTGTCGCTAATTTCACTGCTTCTTGCAGTGTTTTCGGGTCAGCCGAATTCACATTCCCTCTGATAACAGGAGACAAGCCCCAAACGTATAGATCAACTCGGTTCTCCTCGGGCGTCACCAAATGTGGCACCAATTTGGCTAACTCATGGAAACGTGCAGTGTATGAGTCCACGTCATTTCCCTTCATCTGATGGTTCCACAATTCTGCTTCTAGTTTCTGGATCTCACTCCTTGGACAGTACTCCTCCTTGAGCATTTTCTTAAACTCCTCCCATGATAGTCTATTGGCTGCATCTCAGCCTCGAGTTTGTACCTGTGTTTTCCACCAAGTCAGCGCTCATCCTTGCAGAAGACAAGCAGCGAATTCCACCTTGTTTCCTTCAGTACATTTACTGATATGGAGGGCAAATTCCATTCCTTCTATCCAGGTTAACAGTCCAACCACTCCTTCTGTTCCATGAAATTCCTTAGTGTTACAGGTTTGGAACGACTTATACGTGCATTCCCTATCTCTATTCGTGCCTGTTCCCGGGTTGTTCTCTCGGTTAGCATTCAGACCCACCGCTACTTGGCTTACTATGTTTGGGAGTACTGCTAGTACCTGCTCAGACACAAGTCTTGTGAGTTCGGGATCTTCCCTTCTCGGAGGCATATTTCTAAAACACAAACCATTTGAGGTTTAGTCATGAGCTATTACTATTTAAGTGTTACGACTCAGATAGCTACTCTACGCACGACATACATTATGCATTTATGTTAACGTCTTAACATAATCTTTGAGGAATTTAAACAATCATATCACCACTTATGCTTTCAACATATAATATCAAGGTAAACAAACATAAATTAAACATTCAATTCATGATTTCCAAATCATCAGTGTTTATCATAAACATTCAATCCAAAAGAAAAGGACTAAATTGTCCAAGTTAACGGGCAACATGCCCCAAAATATTAGTTCAAAGTTGCTAACCAAAATTCTATCCAAAGGAAACCCCTCCTAATGCCTAACCCATAGAATCATCCATCCAAGAATGACCATCATCATCATCATCAACAAAAACACATATGAATACAATCGCCGAACGGATACCATGGTGTGAACAAGAACTTCTATGGTCTTGTTCATAGTCTCATGGTGAGTGGCCATCATATTCGTGAGACCTTCGATGAGATGGTCGTGCGACTTGAGCTTCATCCGATGAGTTCGAACGTCGTGCATCATACCCGAGAACATATAGCTCTCGGTTAGAGTCATGCCGGTCGGTCGAGCGACCGGAGCTCGGTCCTCTGGTTGCAGTGGCGGTGGTGTCACACTCCAGTCCCTAGTTCGGGAGGGCCCAGCCTCATCCCTATGTGGGATGCTAAAGGTCCTCCGAATTGGGATCGGTACACTCTTCCGAGCAGTGACCCGAACCCTCGTCCCGTACACTGACCGTGAAGGTGGCTCGGGGATGGGGGTAACAGATCGTGCAGGTGACTCTGCGGTGTCATCACTGTGATAGTTGTGCTCAGACGGATCCTTATCCTTGGAGATGGAATGGTCTCCCCCATCCAAACCCGAGTCATCGCCATACCCGTTGGCGGAATATCCTCGGAATGGAGACATAACGCTGCAACAAATAGATTTAATTACGATACATGCTATAATAAATATCAAAATTCATACATGCTAATGCAAACTCACACAAAAATTTATGATTTTCATACTAAAATAAGTTATCGTTTCTAACTAGTATTAGCACAATTAGTTTTAAGTCCCTTCTTAATTATACCATGGTTAGACACAGGTGATCAGGCTTTGCCTAACTATGTTATACCAAAATGGCACTTATCCTAATTGTACTAATAGTAAATTTTCCTAATTTTGAAAATTTAGTTAGAAAATTAATTTCCATAAAAATATTGGTTATACTGCATGGTCTTTATGGAAAAACCGATGTTCTCTATAACCTAAGGCTCTGATACCAAGTCTGTCACACCCCGCTAAAGCGGAAACATGAGGCGCGTCAGTTAGGAGTTCATTGCACTAGGATATATTTAACACCAACCATACATTCATAGCCATAACACAAAAAAATCCAAAGTTTAAAATTACATTCACCGATTACATTTCAACAGAAACAAAGTGTTTGACAAAAATAAGTTCGTTACAAAAGGAGTTCCTTAAACAAAAATCCAGCTTATGTTGCCCAAAGYGGATGCAAGCAAGAACGTAAGATTATCTACTTTTCCACTACCTTCTTATTTCCTGAAAAGCATATTAAAATCGAGTGTCAAC